AGTAGTGATCGCCATTAGTTAATGGACGTAATGTTCAGGAGTGAGAATTTTGTCGATTCCCACAGACGGCGCCAAACTGATGATGCACAAAAATGGTTTTGCACACCACCTGTCAAGTATAGATAATAAATGCAATGAAATCAACGAAAGAATTAAAGAAGACACAATTTATAGTGGTTCAGTCAATTCGACCTACGTCCACTCTTCAATGGCTTCAGTCGCCGGGTATTTTATTGATTCAAAGGTATGGAGAATGAAGATACAAGCTTTGAGAGGGGGGGAATGGAGAATCAGAGAAAATAATAATCTCCGGTAGTCGGTTCGTCTTCTGTAAGTCTTTGATGGAGCATGTGTCCCTTTCTCTCTCAGATTAGAGTCATTCTATAGTAGATAAGAGATCATTCTTGTGGGGATCATAACATATCCTCAAGGCTTCTTTATCGCAGCTTAGAGATTATCTTCGGTGGAGATCACGACTTATCCTCAACGGAAGGAAGAGTTTGGGAAACTCTTGAAGGAAACGTGGTCAAAGATTGGACCGTTGATAAGCTTCTCGTGCTCTCTTCTTGGTGACGTGCTAAGCAAGAAGTCCAACCGTGCTGTCCTCTTGGTGACGTGCTAAGCAAGAAGTCCAACCGGCCTTGGGCTCCCTAAGGCGGTGTAGATAAACTTCCCGTGTTCTCCTCTTGGTGACGTGCTAAGCAAGAAGTCCAACCGTGCTCTCCTCTTGGTGACGTGCTAAGCAAGAAGTCCAACCGTCCTTGGGCTCCCTAAGGCTTGGTGGGTTCACGATGAGGTTGGGCTCCTCAACCGGGGTTGGGCTTTTAATACATAAATTGGACTACTTGGGCTTAACCCATCAGTTCTCATAATGGAAAGAAAATATATAATTATATGAATTTTGCCAAAAATAAAAAATTATAATTGACTAATTTATACAAATGCATGTGCTATCTGATTTATTTCTAATTTATGAATTCTTTTTTAAAATGAAAAAAAATGAGAATTTGAAAGACTAAAAGATGAAACTTTTCTCCAAATTAAAGGAGTTTATGACAAAGTGACGAGTCTTGATTGTTGGTTCGACTCGGATCAAATGTTATTTGTCACGCTTAATTCTAAGTCTGACTCTTTCTACTTCAACTATCACTTTTAAATTTTTCGTTACGCTTTGAATACACGACAAATAATTTATTAATATATGTTCTACATCACTTTTCTTAAAATTGAGAACCTTTCGGATCACATATATTTTGAACTCGTAATTATAATGTAAAGTCAAGATACACACAACCACTTATCAAACGCATCGAGTCTTCCAAGATTCTCTCATAAAACTCAATTTTTTTTTTAGGTCATTCATAATACTCAAACATGAAACATGAAATAGTATTACTCGTATATAAATTTTTTTTTATCCCAGTTACCTCAACGGATTTTAATAATAGACGTTTGAGGGTGAAGATGGCGGGTATGGTTGTGTTGAGGATAAATTGATATGATAGGACATGAGAAGACGATTATGAAATCTTATTCATCGATTATAGTGTTTATTATATGTTAATCAATTTTTAATTATTTCACTATGTTTTCCTCTTTAATTTTAGTTTAACAGTTTTATTGTACTAATATCTCGGTCATAATACATATGAGTGGAGGAAGTAATCTGCGAGCTGGAGGGAGGGAGAAAGACATGTTTTTAGTATCCCCAATACTCAAAGCTTAAATACATGGTATGAAGGGTATTGTTTTCCTTTAAATAACTACATTTTGGAACGAAATATCATTTTTTTATGCTCAATCGTCTATTTAGAGTATGATCTGTTTATTTGGACGAAAAAGGTATCGAGAACAAATAAATCTAAAAACGTGAAACGTCTATTATAAAAACACAAGTGAGTAAAGTGCAACTGTTTCAAAACCACACGAGGGTAAAAAAAAAATTTTCCTATTATTTTTATAGAAAATGAATTTGGTCAAGTAAATTGCATATTATTCTGGTTATATGGATTGCCTATTGCCTCGGGCAAGGCCTTGTTATGCTCGAATGTGGAAACAACTTAGTAGGTTTGGGGTTCAACTTAGTAAGTATGACACGCACAAATTGAAACGAGTGAGTGAGATGCATCCTATTGTCACTAAATCATCCAGTTTCTTTCACAACTATTTGTTTTTATGAGTAATATTATTGAGAGAACTTAATTATTGTAATTATTAAATTGTTAGTGAGTTTTATCATTGAATACACTCTCCATTATTAATCTAATGGTCACAATCCATTAAGTTTCCAAATTATATCTCAATAAATTTAAAAAGCACAAACACAAATATGAAATATAGATACGATACAATAAAACTTGAAACAATAGGATTCACCAGGTATGACTATGATATGTTTATAATAAAATATATTATATAATTTTTTACTATTATTTAACGACTTAAAAATTATAATTTTTAATAGTTACTTCACAATAGTAAGCAAAATTATACAATTTTTACTTTGAAAAATGGGTAATATCGTGTCATTATGATCCATAAAGTGAACATGATCGATCAAAAGAATCAAAACCAATATTTAACTAATTGGTTTGTTTACAAGTATTATTTTCTAAAATTATAGTGTAATTAATTCATTTTTTTTCATACTTTTTTGATATTTAATAATAGAAAATATTTAAAAAATACTCGTGCCTCCACAATCAAATGGAATTTTGTTGATATATTCTATTATATGTGAAATCAAAATGAGAGGGTATAAATTAAAATTAAGAATTACACATCTTGCTCCATGTATAGAAATATATTCAAATATTTACATATTTTATTAATTATTAAATGCGTACATTATGTATCTGATACATATCGTTGAGTATCCAATAAATATTATATCCGATACGATATCTGATTCGGATATGTCGACCTTAACGAAATATCCGTACTTAATTGCCAATAACATAAGTGTATTTTTAGAGGTTTTTTAAAATCAAACCACTTTCTACAACTTATTTAGCTTTAAGTATAAACTTAAAATTTTTTTGATAAAAAACACTTTAGAGCATAAGAACCGAAATACTTCTAACATCTCAGTTACTATTGAAAAAACTACATAAAAAATCGATTAATTTAAAAACTTAAACTCTTAAATTTTATATTTTTTTATATTATATGTAATAAAATAGCTTATAATTCAAATTTCAAAAGATAAATAAAATGACTTTTGTTATTCGCGGTTGAGATCGTTTTAAATTTTACTTTAAAGTTAATCTAACGACTAATATTAACACCCTAAATTTAATATTAACACTACTGCTATCGTCATTGTCGCTGTCGCCACTATCGCCGCCACTATCAACGACGTCGCTGCCACCACCACTACGGACATTATCATCCATCACAACCATAACTGTCTCCTATCACAACTATTGTTGCCCACCACCTCTTACCCCCACTATAAATTGATGCTTCAATTTCTTTATCTCTTTTTTATGTTTGTGATTTAATTTTAAATATGAATACAAATATATTTATTATTTATTATTTTGTGCCTTTAAACACAAACAATAACTAGTTTTCTTATATTAAAACAGTTCTATCTCTCTGTCTCATATATAAAGTCCTCTGCGCCGCAATAACTAGTTTTCTTATATTAAAAAACTTCTATCTCTCTGTCTCATATATAAAGTCCTCTGGGCCGCAATGCAAGTGCTGATCCAAAAGTCAGCCATGGGTCAATCTAGCCTGTGCTGGCAATTAGCCCGATGAGTAGGATCATGGACCTTTTTTGCAAGATGAATAGACCTGACGCAAGAGGATGGCCCAGTTCATAGGTAACTGAAACTAAAAAATTAAGAAAATATGTCAAATTTGAAAAAACATAATTAAAATTTTTTGTCACTGTATTAACTAATTGAAGGACGCGTGAATTATTTTTATATTTAAAACTATATACATGAGTACATTGAAAAAATATACTATAATAGTGTTAGTCATTGCCTTAATTTTTTTTAAATATTATCTATGTATATTTAAAATTATTATAAATATATTTAAGTGTATCCATTCTATTATTTTTTATTCTATCAATTAGTATAGTCATATAATTAAATAATTATGAATTTTTGGACACATTTTGAACACTTTTTATGAATACATCTAGATAAATTTTTGACATGTCAAAATCATTTTTAAAATTATAGATATTATGAAAACTAGGTTAAATAACACAATGAGTAATTAATAACTAATAGCTTGATTAGTTATATAGAAAAATACTATAATATTTTTTATAGAGTTAGTCACATTTGTTATAAAGGATTGTAATTAGTCTTTTTTTTTATTTGTATACACTATATTTATAGGTGTTTTTGATAATTTTTATATTTTTTTGAATCTTTAATTATCAAATAAAATGTCATAAATTTAAATATATTATTTTATTTTTATTGATCAGTGGAAAAAATTTAAAGTTTGTTAGTGAAATGTGCAACCTAAACAGAATTTTTGGCTTCGTTGCTACCAAAACTACGTGGCAGAATTTTATTGGGTATACACATCACATGGCCTTGGTCACGTGGTGTGTGCAACTCGTGCAAAAATTTCTCGCAGGTACAGAAGAAACCTGAACGAACGCTCCGAAAAAGAATAGAGAGAGAAAGCTACAGACAGACAGACAGAGAGGGGGGAAGAACATGAACAGAAAAAACCTCAAAATCCTCGTCTCTCTCTTCGCACTCAACTCAATCTCTCTCTACCTCTACTTCTCTTCTCACCCCGACCACTTCCGTCACAAATCTCGATCGGAAAACTACCACTCGTTGACGCAAAACCACTCCTCCCACTTCCAGTTTTCCGTTACCTCACACGTCAAGCCATGGCCAATCTTACCTTCATATCTTCCCTGGTCCCAAAACCTCAACGTCCCCTTCAGATCATGCGAAGGTTATTTCGGAAACGGCTTCACTCGCCGCATCGATGTTCTTAAATCCACTTCGCCGGAGATGCGCCGGAAATATGGCTCCTCCGCCGTCCATGGACGATCCGGTGGTGGAGGATGGTTTAGGTGTTTGTATAGTGAGACGTTGCGGAGTTCGATATGTGAAGGAGGTAGAATTCGGATGAATCTGGAGAAGATTCGGATGTCGAAAGGAGGAGAGAGATTGGAGACGGTGATCGGGAGAGGAGAGGATGAGGAATTGCCGGAGTTTGAATTTGGAGCTTTCGATGTTGAAGTTCTTGATAGATCCAGTCGCGGAAAGAAGCTTGCGAGTGGAGAATTCCTTGATCAGTATGTGCAAAATGGTGCGATTGAGAGGCACACTATGCGTGGGTTAATCGATTCGATTCGGCTAGTTGGCGCCAGTGAGTTTCAATGCTCGGAGGTTAGGTTTGCTTTAATTGTGTAAAGTTGTGAACTTTTTGATTTTGTGTTGACTTGGTGTTTAATTTAATGCTTTCTTATGATTAGGGTTTAGGGATATGGAATGCATTAATTTCTTATCATTGGGGGAGCAATTAATGGAAATATGATTGCTTTTAATGAAGTGAATGGTCGTAGTACTTTTATGGAAGGAAAGGTGATGTCCTGATATGGGGAGTGTTTTGGATTGATTTGATGAAATTAATCCTGAATCTATGGAATTTAATACAAGTGGCTTCTAGTGGTCACCTATTAGAATCTGTGGTGGTTATGGCCAAACAAATTATATAGTTTGGATATGATAATCTGTTAGTCAATATTGTTTGGCACTTCTTAATTTATGAACCCGATTATGGTGGAGAATTTGGCTGCTATTGATGCTTGCATGGAATTAAACTCTTCCCTTTTATGGTCCTGGATAAAGTGGTGCAGATTTAAGAGTATATGCATGGAAAGATTTTGACAACTAGAGACCCCAGTTATAAGTTCCGATTCTTAAGGTAGTTTCAAAATAATAAATGTTGATGTCCTGATAGGGAAACTATTCAGTTAAATGGTATCATAGAAGGCAGTTATCGTAGAAATCAATCAATTGTCAATTATGATATAAGAGGGATTGGCATACATGTTGTAGTGATGCTGTCCTTATTACAAAATTTTCTGTCGCAATGGATAGATTGGAGTCCCTATGATTAGATTCATTGAAGTGAGCTAAACTGCAAGTTAAGGGGCCTTCATGAGCAAGTTGATTGACCTCCCAGGATTTGGATGAGTAAATGGATTATCTTTCTTCCCAAGCTTAGTGATGGAATTACAACCTTGATTTGAGAATTATTAGTGGGGTTGGGATAGTGGTTTGTAATTGTGGAAGTGATGATGAACCTTCTGCACTTCCACAGGAAGAAGGAAAAAACTGTGACTTATCTAACTTGAAGCATATTGTAAATGCATAAAAATTTTTTAGTGAGAAATCAAGCAATGAATGCCAGTAATACATATGAAGGATCTTACTAAAATTCCTTGAGAATGGAATAAGTGATCAGCAAACATGCAGGGACACAAACAGTGATCTGGGATTTTATTACTGGTTATAGTGTAACGAGCAGATTTCATTGTGTTTTAATATTCACAGAATATGACTCTTTTTTAATGTAGTGTCTGGGAGGGTTTTTGTTTCGCATCAATCATGTCACTCTTGAATCAACTCTTTCGGATGATCATCTGGACCATTGTGTTGGGAAATGAGCTATGCATGTCCTTTCTCATTGCATGCATCTCTTCTGATTATGATATTTATGATTTTCTCTTATATTGTTTACTCATAAAAATTAGGGAAATAAAAAATCTCTTTTTACTGCCCTTTGCATTTCTGACAAACACCTCTCATTACAGTGGGTCGAGGAGCCAACACTTTTAATTACACGCTATGAGTATGCGAACCTTTTTCACACGGTTACTGATTGGTACAGTGCATACGTGGCTTCTAGAGTTACTGGCTTGCCTAATCGGCCTCGTTTGGTTTTTGTAGATGGTCATTGTGAGGTAAGTGTGTTCAGATTTTTCATTTTAAAGCCTGGCCTTATCTCAACTATTGATAAAAATATTTGAATCGTCATTTGGTGATGCGGGCATCCTGTTTTCTTTTCTGATTTGGGTTTAGTAGGTGATGTACAATTCATGCTTAAGTGACCCTTGCTGCTGCAGTAATGCATTGAACATGCTTGATGCTTGACTTGCACCATCTTCTTCCTCGTCCGCTCATTTCAATTTTTATGTTCACTCTTACTGAGTTATGGTTGATAAAAAATTGCTATTGATATGTCAAAGAAAATCATGTCATTCTTAGTGTTCAAGGGAACCTGAACTTAGATTCTAAAATTTAATATGTCAACATTTTGTAATGATCGTGATTGCTTAGACATTCCAATATGCTGCCATCCAATGTAGTTATTTATGGATTTTTTTTAAAGCTATTACACACAATGCAAAATGCATTTCCTTTTATAGGTTCCTTGTTAGGTCAATTGGAACATTAGTTCCTTCTGCATTGAAGTTACCATTGGTGATCTATCTTATCTTTCTGTGGCAAAAAATTTCAGACGCCTTTGGAAGAAACATGGAAGGCATTGTTTTCGAGCCTCACATATGCTAAAAACTTCAGCGGTTCAGTATGCTTTCGCCACGCCATCCTCTCACCTTTAGGATATGAAACTCCTCTATTTAAGGGTCTGTCTGAAAACATAAATTGTCATGGAGCATTTGCACATGACTTGTGGCAAAACCCTGATGATCAGAAAACTGCACGACTGTCGGAGTTTGGAGAGATGATTAGAGCAGCTTTTGGGTTTCCTGTAAATCGGCACCGTACCCCAAAACTGGTCTCAGGACACAATGTCCTATTTGTTCGACGCGAGGATTATTTAGCTCATCCACGACATGGTGGTCAGGTCCAATCAAGGCTTAGCAATGAACAACAAGTGTTTGATTCTATAAAGAGCTGGGCATCAAGTCATTTGGAATGCAAAGTGAATGTTATTAATGGACTATTTGCACACATGCCCATGAAAGAGCAGGTTCGAGCCATTCAAGATGCTTCCGTCATTGTTGGAGCCCATGGGGCTGGTCTCACTCACATAGTTTCTGCCACAGCAAAAACAGTGGTTCTTGAGATCATTAGCAGCGAATACAGACGCCCGCACTTTGCATTGATTGCTCAGTGGAAAGGGTTGGAGTATCATGCCATAAATTTGGATGGCTCTTATGCTAATCCACCCATGGTTATCAACAAGCTTAGCAGCATCTTAAAGAGTCTTGGGTGCTGAAATTATTGAATGTTGGGTTTTCCTCGTTTACTCCTGATTGCTGGAAATTAGAAAGATGACTGGTTATCGTCCCAAAGTACCTATGGGAACATGTTCAAGCTTTAAATCCCATGGTTAACCTGTGACTGCTGTTTTTCACATTTTTGTTAGATTCAAATTGAGGTTCGAGCAAGGGACTAATTTTCAGAGTTTAGGCTATTGATAGTTAGTCAAGGGATGGCGGATTAAGGCAGTTGCACTCGTTAATATAGAGCTCGGTCACGAGGGATTGGCAGCAAAAGAGATAGGCAATGATGTAGTTCTGGGAGTAGATTTCAAGTGATTGGTGGATAGATGAAGACATTGTGGTTGTTTAGTGCTTGACAGTATTTCTGCTACAGTTTTTGTGAACTTTTGTGACATTCAGGGTTGACTGGACACAGGTCTCTTGATTTTGCTCACCAACTGGTAATTTCTCCTCTTACACGAACAGTATACCCGTTGTCAATACACATTCTTTATTTGCAGAGGCTACTCTTTAGAATATAGCAGAGTTGATCTGTCCATTTATTCAAAATTTCAAAGGAAAATGAATCTACATCCTCCAGTAAATGCAACTCAACAAACTCTTCAAATTCTTTTTTGGCTCTCTCTATTGATGTTTTCAATATGGTAAATCCTTTAATGTCCCTTTTTTGGTCTTCCGTAAACCTGCTTCAAAATCATTTTTTTTTTTTGGTTTTCTTTTCCCTCCTTTGCTTTTGAAAGATTTGAGAGAGTGAGAGAGAGAGAGGATTGGCCCGTTGGTCACATATTGTTTGTTCTTGAGGCTCTGATTAATGGGATTGGTTTTCTTTTAATTGAATATCTGTATTTTTCTTTTTCCATGATGTATGTCTAGATACGCCCGATGTTAAAATGTCATAGAAATGAAAGTACAAGGGGTCCCTGCTATTCCTCTTGTCTCTATCAAGTGGTAGCGCAATTCTTAGATTGTATCTCTCTGATACTGCATGTTACTCCGCACAAATGCTGCAAATCACACAACAAAACTATGATATGGAGCGTGGCTAGACCATGCACAATGGTCAAGGATGATGCTTCCGCTGTGGCGTTGGCAATGGACAATGGACAATGGACTGGCTGCTAGCCAAGAGATGCAGGTTGTCACAGTTAACCAGGACCATCATGGAGCTGCGTGATTTCTCTGTCAGCCTTTTTGTTTCGCTTCTCCTTTTGTTTAAGGTTGATTATAATTAGACCAAAATGAGCCTAAACAGAGATGAGATATCCTGGTCGGATTTCTATATGCACCATTAAGACCTCAAAGTAGATAAGTTTTGACATTGTAGCATCATATGTTGGAAGATCAAGTACTACCCACAGCACATATAAGGACAGACCGCAAATGTTACTAGCAAGAGAGGGATCCCCGATAGGCGATAATATTACACACCTCGCACGATATAGTGATCTTTTTAAGAACATATCCTTCACAAGGTCAGTGTAAGTTGAACTTCTATCACGTTAAACAATAGAAATTTATTTATACTGTCCCTTCTTCACCATTGGCACTCAACCACAAATGACCCATCAGACAAACTAATCCATCTCAACATGGGAAATCAGCTAAGGCCAGTGACACCCAAATTTCCAGACAATAGTGCACACAAATATAAATGGAGCTAAGTTTGTCTCATCAACCATAAAACACATTGATAAACACTAAGTGATGCTAAGAGTCTCAAACACTTGAACCAATCTTTAGTTCCATGCCTTTCTAATAGGAGTTTCAACAGGCCCACTGGCCCCTGGGGGTTAAGTAATTCTAATTTCAAACACACCAAGTTTAGGTAACAAAATTTAAGCAGTACCACTGGCACCCTTTCCTTTCTTCCTCTGGAGTTTCTTCATATAGAACTCCAACTCTTTGCCCTCCAAAATATATCTGTCAAAATAAAGTTGTGAACCAGATTAAGTTATAGAATAAACAGCCAACATACATAACGAATAAAAGTATATTATTGCTGAATGAAAATCATTATTCAAAAGGTTTCAACACAAACAGGAAGAGTTGAAATCACAAAACATAAGGTTCTACCATCCAGCTTCAAAGCTGATTAAAATCAAAATATAGCAATGGGAATCAACCAAACGGTGAACAGAATATATAATCCGCAAAAGGATAAGCATACCCATAACATCCCTCTTGCAGCCAGAGGCAAGCTAATAATACCATGTACTAAGGTTTATCAATAGCTCAACAAATAATAATAAGAATAATAATAAGTCTAGTAGAAAAAAAGTATGAAGATGACTAGAGAAGACGTAGGAAATTGGACAATACAGGGACGGCACATAAACATTTATGTCAAACATACCCTTCAGAAAGTCTTATCCTGACTGTAATGATGGTGCATACATTGTCCGTCCTTATTGAAAACTAGAGTGCTAACAAGCAATCAAATTAAAGTGTTAACGCACACTATATTAGAATCTCAGTAAATTAATCTTTTGTTGTGTTAATTACGTTAATGGTATAGGATTGCCACAAGAATCAACATATATTTTTGCAACCCATAAGAAACCCCAGAACAGTAACAGAAAACATACCCATCTGCACGACCACACTGGCCAGGTCGTGAAGAGATTGCAGCTAGCAAGCGGCCACTACCAAATTGCTCTTCAACATGTGGGCCAAGCTTGCGATCCTGTTGACGTTTCTCCAGTTTTCGCAAGACGTGATTGCTCTTCTTTGTCTCCTCAGCAGCAGCTTCACCCTCCTATGAACCAAACAGACAGCAACCAGTAAAGATGTAGAAGATCTATCACTGACAGTTGTTAGATAACAAAAACAAAAAATATATAATACACATACAACTGGAATTTCATATGCTTCATTGTTATTATTTTAATCCATACACAAGGTTTTTTTAGTAATTATTTGATATTTGAGGATGAATTACATATGTTGACAATTCAGTGCTGCTTCGTGTCTACATTAGGTTCCACATTGCCATTAACTAAATGGTTGTCACATGAATTAGCATTAGCGATGATGACAGACTGAAGGAACATGGCTACAAGATGGAGTGACCATAAATTAGCAATCAACTATGACATATTCTATTTTTCTCTTCTTTTTAACAGAGATGTTAGGAAGGGCAACTAGGTACAAACCTAATCTCCAACATTATTTGCATAAAGGTAGCTACTCTCATATTCAAACCAATGTTACCTGGATTGTGGGTCGTTGTGGTACGTGTACGGGTACATGATACGACACTTTCTTAGATAAGCTGTACGATGACAGTAGATTTAGTTGGTACAGTATTTTGGGTCGCAATTCGTTTTACAAATCTTATATAATTCGTTTTCATTACTATACAACATTATATATTATAGAACATTCATAAACACTAAGTTAGTTACCATTTATCTTATAATTGTGCTTGACTTTCTATTATCTAAAACAATATATAATTATAAATTTATATATATGTAATCAATTAATATGTATTTTATATTGGTACTATATGTTCTAAAGCGAATTGATTTAGGGTTAGTATTACAATTTGGGGTCATCCATTTTGGTGATTTGGATTGCGAACCTACCTCGTTGGGAATCGATGTACTCAAATTGTGCGTTGTTAAGGGTTTAGTGAATTGTGGTAACCATGATTCAAACCCCTAATCTCATTTTCCTAACCACAGTGGGTTGGGTGGTGGTTCACATGTGAAGACAGTCAAATTGTGCAAGTCACGGTAAAGAATAGGTAAATAACAGGCAGGCACTGGTGCCTGGCTAATGGCATTTGTCCTTTATAGCTTGACCATTTCCAAAAGTTACAATTGTGAGAGATAAAAAAGGATTTCAAGCTAATGAAAAAATAACTAATGTTGTTCATATTGAAGAGTTCAATGGGTTTTGCCTCCTCTAGTTCTCATCTAAAAAATAATCAAGTCAGTGGCACAGATATACAGCTCTTTTAAGAAGAGTTGCAAAAAATCCGTGGCAGAGGACGGTGAATCATTAATTTTACACAATGTTTTGGTGCCTTAGGCTATAACCATGGGGCGTCCAGCAACGCCAAAAGACTGCATTCATATTCAACAAATATAAAAAGGAATTATTTCTACAGTGCTACAACAATAGCATAATATGCAATCACTCCTTTGAATCACCACAATGTCACGAAACTCAGAATATACATAATAAAAGAAAATTGTAAGTAGTCAAATGCAACTACGACTCCAATTGATCATAGCTACTTAATAATACAGAAGGGAAAATAAACTGATCAGAAATTGAACCAAAACGATCCAATAAATTTCTAATTACATATAGCATAGCATAATTTATTAAATACTACATAAAATTCATAGTGCCAATATTCAAATGAAACCACAAAAATGCAATCCCAACAACAATCCAGCACAAACTATCAAAAACATTCTTGTACCTCTCCTTCTTTTTTGGAAGAAGCAACACTTTTCTTCTTGCGACCAATGTCAACTCCATAGTGCTGAAGATACCACTGCTTAAATGGTGCAGCATCAACCTGAACAATTGCACTTTTCACCAAGGTCTGGGTCCTCACCAACTCATTGTTTGATGCATTATAGACCACATCCAAAATTCGAGTCTTCCGGGTCACAGCCTCACTCCCCCAAGAATAGTTCCCCGTATCCAACCTTAAGGCACGCCACTTTATGTTCCCACCACGAACTCTAATCCTTCGAACGGTCTTCTGGCTCGACAACTTGGTATTTGCTGGTTGTCTTCCAAGCTCATACCTTCAAAGACAAAAATAACACATTACACCAGTTATGCAAGCTAGATCTAACTTGATTTAGGTTTTCCCCGTGATTGTTTTATACCCAAGTTGCACATTCTGAACGGCGGAAGGGCCAGATAGACTACATAAACTAAAACTGATAATAGTTTTAGTATTATACTATTATCCAAAACCACATAGAAAGATGACCATTATTGTTCTGAAACTTATGCAAAACCACAATAAACTAGCACAAATGGACTATGGTGTTGAAAAATATAATTAGTCTTAAGGGGCTGTGATGAACCAGAAATCTGAGGCATCAAACGAACTAGAAAAAAAGTTGTGTCCAAAAGTATGGCGTTCAAACCTTGAAATAGCAACCGGAGGAAATTTTTGTTAACATTTGACCTTGTGTGATGTTCAGTTCCTACTATTCCAAGCCAATAATTCCATGCAACCAAATGCATCTTCGAAATTACGGAAATCACATTAACAGGAAAATGAATCCAAACTGATCGGTTTATGAAATTTTGACAAATAGATTAATACCCAAAAACTGATATGCTCATTGCTGGGCCATTAGGAAATTGAACAAGACCATAAATCGGAAGCCAAACGTAAAAAAAAAAAGATGGTTTGGTCATGATCAAAGAAAGCTGACAGAGGCATCGGTTCAAAAAAGTGAGAGAATTTCTCTGGTACTAAAAGTAGGGGTAGATAGACTCATATAAGCGTATAGCGGCGAACAAGGACTTATATAGTCGACCCCAAATAATTGGGACACAAGCCTTGGTTTGATTTGGTTTGGTAATAGATCCATTACTCATCAACTACAAACAAAAAATCGACTAGGGATTTCAAAACCATGAAATCCATCAATTCGAAACACTAAAAATGTATATCAACAAAATGAAGTTTTGCAAACTCTTAACTCAAAAACAAGAAATGAATATAAAGATACGGGAATTTAAACAGAATTGGGGTTTCTTTGAGGGAGATTACTTTCGTTTCTTCCTCCAAGCCTTCTTCTTGCCACCAGTGGCACGCCTCTTGTGCATCGAATCCCGAGAGATACCTGTAACACATCAGGATTTTTTTTTTCCAAATTAACATCAAGAAGATATGAGATTGCCGAAGAGAAGAGAGAGAATGTAGACGAAATTGATTGATACCCATGGTTGCAGACGGTGGATTCTAGAGGTTTCTGTGCCTCGCGCGCCCCAGATGCCAGCTGAGAAGTGAAGGTTTTGCACGTGAAGGAAGTGAAAGATAGTGGCGAGCTTGGTTTTTAGTTACACTTCCTTGTCAAAACCCTAGTTATTCGAAATGACGTTTGTGTCCTCCACCTTCTGTAGAAAAGGCGCTCTTTTGTCCCCTATTGTAACGGTGTCGTTTTCCTTTTCTAAATATACCCTCGCTTAAATGTAGACGTGTCTATATATGACACGGCGTATTATAAAATTTGAATCACCATTAAATCACATGCTTCAGAAACGGATGGATTTAATTCGACACGATTAATAAATAAGTAGAACATAATGAAAGTAATTAAAAAAATATAGTATATAATTCGTTTATATATTATTTATATACAATTCAAAAATGATATAAACTCGATATAATATAATTTTTTAAATATAAATTAATAAAATAATTAAGTGTAAATAAAATATTTTTTAATACGACGAATCCGATAGAATTGATGAGCCCGCTTAAATGTAATCCAATATTAAGCCCAAGCCCAGTAGACACTGACTTGTTCAATGACCAAAATACCACTAAACAAATTTTTGAAATTGCTTTCATCTACCCCTCTGCTGGTTTACATCAATGAGCTTTTATCACTTTCTGCAATAATGGCACCAAGCAAATTAGAACCCTATTCCTTATCTCTCTAAAGTTCCTTTGTAATCTGGTGACAATTTGCAGGTTTACACTATGAAGACAAGTAGCAACCTATAATTACAATTAAGGACAATACCCACCTCATGATGTGAACCAATCCAATTTCAGAATTAATGCAAAAGACCAGTCTCTCTGCTACATTTGGAAGATTCTGAAAATGGGGTTTTCTCTGGCTGGTCCGTTGGGTGTTCATGTATCTCTCAAAATTCCTCTTCACAGGACTGTAAAGATTCCAACTTTCAGTGAGAAAAGAGTAAATTTCAAGTTAACAAAGGCTGAGCCTCAACCAGGAAGGTTTTGTTGCTGCAAACTTGATTATGTTGAGTTTGAAGAAAGAACAAGCCCTAATGAGGTATACCCAAATGCTTTATTGCTGCAAATTTCAGTCTTTCTATCATGTTTATGTGTAGGGATTATGTTATGTTTAGTTGTATGATCTAGACAGTTTTATGCCATTTTGCTGTGCTATATAAAGCTTAAATCTGTTGGATTTGGACAGAAAAAAAGTGCCAATTTTGTATTTCTATTCAAGTTTGAATCCTTATGTTTCGCTTTTGGGCCTATAGATTTGTATGTTAATTTGTAGTCTGCCAAGCATGAATTTATGGATTGAGGGACAATGGGAGGCTTCTTCTGCTGGTATGACTGCAAAGGTGAGGCAATCAAAATTGCACCAAAAACCACTTCAAGGGCAAATATTGTGGCTCATTCTGTTTAGCAATTTACTGTTTAGTGGGGTGCCTGTTTAGAATTTGTGCTTTTGGCTTATTGTCTTAGTGGTGGGGAAATCTCTAGAAATTTCAGTTAGATCACATAAATGTGCTTAGCTTAACGCACCATCCTCTTTTCAATTCACATAATGGATGCTTATGACCTTGTATTGAAGGGCTCTGATATTATGTTTTAAGTAAGTTCTGACTTCTGAACCAGCCTTCACTCGTCGCAATTGTTGCGATCATAAACCAATATTTGATCCGAAAGAAGTGTCTCCCTGCTCCCCCCAAAACACCCCACCAAACCCCTAAGACGACCCAACCCCTTAAAAACATATTCTTTTTCCATATATGCTATCATTGAGAAACTTGCTCTAGCTTATTAGCCAACCAGCCATTTATTGTGGTTATATAAGCTACTTTACCATTTTCGAAGGATATGTATTAATGTAGATTTGTCAAATTGCAGGTCAAGCAAGAAATAGAACAATGCTATGAACTCATACACAGGATTGGGAGGGGTGTTGTGTACTTGGGTTCTTCAAGGATGGGGCCTAACCATCCACATTACACACAAGCACTGGAGTTAGGCAGAGAGGCAAGTTGCCTCATATTACATCATCCTTTCTTACTTTCCCCGACCGAAAAATATTCATAGGGTATTAGATCTGTATGCATGTATTGGTGTAACCACTTACGAGAATACTGTTTAAGTGCATGCAACTCAAATTATGAGAATATTAAATTCTAATTTTTCGGATCCTTGAATTTGCAATGATTTAATTTGGGGCTCTTTAATTGTCATAATAGTAGGTTGCAACCCTTTTGGACTGTGCCTCATGGTCAGGGGCTGGGCCTGGTCTCATGGATGCTGCCACTAAAGGGGCTTTGCAAGCAGGGAAGCCAGTCGGGGGACTTAAGATAGGTAAAGAAGCTGGAGAGTGGGTGGCCACAGCGTTCCATCCATATCTACCTTCAGAGACTTATCTTACTTGCCGGTAAGACTACTAGTTGCTGAAAATTTTATGAACACTTGGGAAGCTGTCCAGATTTACAATTGCTTCAGCAAAATGCAGGTTCTTTTCTGCAAGGAAGCACGGATTGGTGGATGCTGCTGTTAGGAGCAGTAGTTCTGATAGGACAGCTGTAATTGCTCTCCCTGGTGGGATTGGCACTCTAGATGAGGTTTTCGAGATTCTGGCATTGATTCAACTGGAAAGGATTGGATCTTTACTACCAGTTCCCTTTCTTTTGATGAACTATGATTCTTTCTATTCCAAGCTGCTAGACTTTCTTGATGACTGTAAGGACTGGGGTACTCTCTCAGACGGAGAGGTTGCATCATTGTGGAAAGTCTGTGATAGTAACTCAGAAGCTCTGGCGTATTTGGCAGATTTTTATGATCTTTCTCATGGTGACCAAGGTACGTGGAGACAAATTCAGATAAAGAAATATCTTGAACTACTGTTTAATGGCTGTGGGCTTGGTAATACAAATTTCTGTTCAACTTGCTTGTTTGGTACGATGAATTCTACCCCTTTTTTCTCCATTTCTTAACTTCCTTTGAGGGTGCTTTAATGTGCCCCTTTTCAATCCAAAAACCACTTTAAGATGGGAGAGATTTGAGACCCCTCTAGAAGTTGAGTGTAGCCAAAATTTAGACCTGCCTCCACCTGCACTCATTTCATTCTTCTAAGAGCTTCCCTGTTTTCTTCCTCAGTTCATTTTGGAAGTGGATAGTTTACCTTAGTCTGATGCACATTCAAACAGCAATTCATTTATTTTGCCCATGTCTGTTGTACCCCTAGCCAGTTTCATTCCCTAAATAAACTCTAACACTCAAGAAACCCACCCTACCATCACAAGTAGAAAGTTATTTGCAGAAAAGTTGCTTGAAAAAAGAAATGGTGGGACACCCATGATTGTTGTTTGGCTATTCATTCACTAGTGTTGTGAGACACAGAAGAAGCCCTTTCATTATTTATCTGCACTGAAGTTACAGAACCTCATTACAAATATACAAGTAGTCTAGGCTCACACTAAGAAAGCAAGTTTTTTAAAAGTACATCTATGAACAATTAGAAAATTGTCCTTGTCAGGTTGAAGAGAACTAGAGAAGGCATCTTTTGATTTAATAAGGAAGATAGTGTCAAAGAAGTGTGAAGGAGAAATAATGTTGTTTCTCTTTTAAGAAGTGTGTGCCCAGTGCTGATGCTGCTTGGTGCTTCTGAGCCCCGAATCTGATACAATGCAGAAGAACCTGGAATGCAGCTGCTGTGAAAATTTTTATAACTTAGTACATCAATTGTGGAATCACACATCTAATCATGTATAACTCATGAGTTATCTAGTGTAATAAGACACTCTTTCCAAAATTTCTATCATATGTAAGGGTAAGTTTCATAGAATGTCAGAAGAGCTCTGTTCCTTCCTCAAATTAGAATATCTGATACCTTGGTAGGAGGTGTGATTATGCCATCCATGTTTATGTGCTCCCTAACATTGTGGTAAACAAATGCACAGAATCAATCTTTCACAATTGCATGCTAGCTAGCACATACATTTAATATCTTTCAATATATTAGAGATAGCCAGTACCTAAAAACTCAATATAAAAACCTCAAATTTCTCCAAACAGACTTGAAATTACCAAAGAATAATGTATATCTCCAGTGCTATATAGCTTTGCATATTTGAATAGCCTCTGAAAACCTACAGTTGAGGAAGCCATTTTATACCACTTCACATCAAACTGCAGCAGCCAGCGCCTTCATCGGCTAGGGGCGGGGATGAAGGTCCTACCCGGTACGAAAGTCTGGGCCGAGGACGGGTTCCATATCCTCTGTGATGGAGGTACCTATGGTCAGAATAGTAGTTGTTTCCTCCATATCCTCCATTATAACCAAGTCCTCCATATCCATGGGACCCATAATTCCCACAGTAACCATTGTGGCCGTAGTCATAGTAATCGTTGTGATCCGGCGGCATATACAAGTTGCTAGAACATTGCCCAAACTGAAACCAACAAACCTCTGCTCTTTTCCCTGCCTTTGCTAGTATCTTTAGAAGTAAGCTCGGATCCACTGTCCCTGACACTTCAACCATTCCCTCTTCATTCATTCTGAAATTTGATACTCCTGAGGAAAAACAAAAACAAAAACAAAAATACACATGAAAAAAAGGGCCATGGGTAAAATCAAGAACAGTTCATTCAAGTCATGACCCACAAACTCCACACGAAAATGTATACGAAATTAATAGATGGGGTTTAACTTAAAAGAGTTCAGACAGTAAATGGCTGGACCTGCTAGAAGAATTAGCAAAAACTTGGTTTGTATATACAGCATAAACTTAACACAATACGAATCTAACTGTACGATTACAAATGGGTTGAATATAAATCAATTAAATTTTGACATGACACGATTTACACATCACGAACTATTAATAGCCTACTGAAATCCTTGCAAAATTTAAGAAGATAACGATTAAAAGGAATACAAGTATTATTGATCACAAAAGCATGCGTTCAAAATCTAACCTACCGTTCGTGTTTTTGACCACTCCTGCAACCACCTTTTGCCATCCTGAACTGCTGACATTCACTCTTAGAACACAAGTCTGCAAAAAGTAAGATACATGAAGAACAAGATTTATACTGAAAATGGAGAAAGACAAGAAAAAAAACAGCAAACTAAAGAAGGAAAAGGGTAGAAAACTAATGGGTGTGTGTCGTAGTATAACCATGAAAGCAGAGTTTTCCTCTTTCACTTGACGAAGTCCAAGGGCGGCCATTAAAACCAGTGTTCGAGTTTGAGGGTTTGAATGCTTTTGGGTGTAGGCAAAGAAGTTTGAGAGAGAATTGAGAAATGGGTATGAATCAAGGATTTAACTACTGTTAAGGAAGGTGTTAAAATTAGTGTTGTGAAAAAGATACTTTGTTATATATTGAAGATCTGATTGGATGGAATTCCCATTTTCCATTCCTAACATCAGACTTTTATTACTTCCTTAAGATCTCTCTCTTGATATAAAAGAAACAAATTTTACTCAAAAAATTATGATACGATTCTCTATCATTTCCTTATACGGTTTATGTATAATGCTTATCCAAGCTCAACGAGATGTGCCAACCTCGGGATGCTTTACTCCTAACCCCAGAAGTCGAAAAAGTCAATCTCCGTCTTCTCATCCAAGATGACTCAAAATGAGGAGGGGAAGGCTCGGAGAGCTGCTGAATTAGCTCTGCTGGGAACTTTTTAGAGAACAATTCTTGAAATTGCTTCAAGCATCGGATTGTCCTCAATTATAGTGTTGATTTCCGAGGGTAAAACATCTTTGGTCTTAACTGACAAAATCGCAACTTGATTGCTCAGGCTGTGGAAGCTACCGAGTATGCATTCAAAATAAAATGTATCATATATGGCATGAACAGAGAGTACACTGCATTACCATAGGAGAATGCTATTAGACCCTAATTTGAAGATCTAGTTTGAAAACTTGATGCATCACAGCCTGGATTTAGAGTGATTTAACATGCCGTGGGGTTTGGATAGAGAGTGGATCCCAGAACTGAAGGAGGTTTACGGTCAATCTAATAGCCACCATACATCCCCAAACTAGTTCATGGTACAAATAGCATTATTGCAACCACAAGTCGAGGCCAGATTTAAAGAAGAAATTGAAGTTTTCAAGCAAACGCTATGATTTTCATGGTTACTCCATATAAAGCAGGCCTTTACATTGCATATAAGTAGGAGCTTATTAATGCATTGCAGTTTGCTCAGTCAGCCTCCAAACAAGTAATAACAAACCAAGACATAAGATTTAGGATCTCATACCACCAGAAGAAGTCATGTCACATAACTCGCATATCATCATTATTAAAAATAAGTTTTAAATATTACTACAATCTACAAAGCACTTTTTTTCCAATATTCTACAGAAGACTGCAAAGCATAACCGCTCTCATCCCTGGTTTACTAGAAAGAAAACCGATTGTTGCCCCTGCTGCGCTTCCTTACAGATTGGCAGAAGTAAGAGAAGGACTCGTTAAGTTCATTTGGAAGAGGGAATGCCAACGGAGGAAGTACACCATAGTTCCTACTTTTAATGCTCATGGAAGACGGATGCGCCAGTGCAGGCTGCTGCTTGTTAAGACCTTCAATGATAAATGAGAATGCCCCAAAGGTGAGGCAGCTTTGAAGCAGAGCCTGAGGAGCGCCTGGAAACCATCAACGGTAAGGTCAAAGCTCAAATCACAATGCCATGCATAAAAACATGGCATTAAAATATTGAAAGTATCCTTGAACCAAATTCTACTCAGCTGGATCAAGATCCCAACCTCTTACAATCTGAGCACCATCCTATTGGTCTATTCTCTCCCTTTTATCATAAAAGCTTTAACATACCTTTTTTTTTATTTTTTTATGAAGTTATGATAAGGTCAATCTGACATGTCCCACCCCAAATCTAGGGTTTCTAGACATGTTTTTTTTAAGTTTTAGCCATGAGTCTTAAATTTGGCCAACCAGTCATCAATCCTAGGACAAAATGAAATTCAGTGACACACAAAAGGACAAATTAAAAATTCAGAATCATATGGCAAAAGAAATGTATAAATTAGAAAACTTGGCAAAGAGTACATAGCAACAAACTCCATGGTTACAAGCCTTTCATAATAGAACCTGGGTAGGAAGAAGAAAGGAAATATTGAGAAAAGTCAAGAAGATGGTAATCGAGAACAATGAAAGGAATTTCCAAGTCTGAAATCAGACATTATTTTCAGTATCCAAAATTGAAAAATATGCTGACATTCAAATTAAATGAGATAAAGCAGGCCAAACATTCTTATAAATATAATGACTACATGTTTTAGTGGAAAAATTCAAGTATAGTCGTCAAGATCATGAACGGTGAACCTTGTCAAGGTAATGAGAACGTATGATTCTTCCAAAGATGTCATAGTATAATATTTTGCTTCTCAGTGAGTACCTTATAAAGCAATATGGTATTGTTTACAAGGGACTGATTTATATAGAGGCACAGGGTCAATCATGCTTGAAATTGAAAACACAAACTTGAGTAACGAATAAACTCAAAAGCACGTGATGCCCATGTGTTGTATTATTAAGATAATAGAAGGTTCAAGTACCTGGAAAACTTAGAGCAAGACCTGTGCAACATCCGGCCACTCCAGCATTAATAACTGTAAAGGAAGAATTCAAGTTTCAGTGTCATGGAAAGATCATGTTAGGGTCCAGTTCTTCAACTGAGATTCCATACCGTCATCTTTTCCTCGCAGCCTCTTCAAAAAGCAGACAACCAAACTGTGAACTCCAGACAAAACTGCAAATGTCTGATAGGGGCAGAGTTAAGTCAAAGAGATCTCACATTGAAGCTAGATGACAGAAAACCTATAGTTGAAGGGTTTGAGAAAGTAGGGGGAAATGTGAAAAAGAAGACAGCACTAACATTTCCCAATGTTATAACATTCAAGGATTTCTTACTTTGGCAGAAGATCCTGCCTCTGAAAAGGATCCTCTAAAGCCCTTCTTCTTAATCAATCCTGAACCTGATACAATAGTTGGCATAGGCATTCTTCAGCACAACACCACAACAATAGAATGCAAAACAATCATAGACCATGGCTGGCTTGTTGTTTATGACGAAGTTGTCCCAATTACATTACTATATCCACAAAGTAGTTATCTATTATGAGTACTGTAATTAGAAATATAGATATAATTACCCCCATGTCTCCATCAACATCCTAAGCAAAATCAATATGTGAACCTTGGAATTCATTTAAAGCTTGTAAAACTTTTACTAGACTTGTTATGCTTAACAAACCAAATACATAGAGTTGCAACTCAAATAACCAAATTACCCTGCCCTTTTCCCTCTCTTTAATCTTCTTCTTTGTCAGGCAAAATTTCGCACCACATAATACAGAGACAACAGACTCCAGCAGTCTATAACATAAAATTCAAACATCCAGTCACATACTTCACCAGGATGGGAAAAGTCCCCAAGCCCTTCCAAGCATATAAGAGAGGGAAGAGTAAATTATCTTGTATGTGCAATCAAATCCAACAAATAACATGAAAAATCTGGCATGCACAAATCCTATCTCCACTTCCTCCCACACCTCAAGTTCAGAACAGTTCTATGCTCAAACCCAGTTGTTTTCTAATCTTATTAGTACCAACAAGTAGCCAGAATTTCAATCCATAACACAATAATTGGTTAACTTGAATATTAAAATTCACCCCAAAAATATTAAATACCAGTACAGAAAAACAACCAGATAGCCAAGCTAACCCACTAAAAAACCTCAAATTAAAAGAAATCGTCAAAAAAATCCAGATGAAATTGGCAATATCAAGGCTTCTCAACAAGAAAGGAAAACAAACAAGTAGAAGAAACAAAAACATTAATAGACAAAAAAGGAACGAGGTACGATGTTGTACCTAGAACTTCAAAATTCACCAGCAAAAAAACCAGCATTGATACACAACCAGTATAACCAAACTAACTTCACACATTTTAAAGCAAACCCACTACATTTACCAAAGTATAACAAATTTGCCACACCTCACATTAGCATTGACTTCAATTTCCCAGCAAAATTTATTTACCATTTTTTACATTTCATTAAGTCGCAATCATGGTGAAATTTCACAAAGCATCAAGTCCAAACAGCCATCTAGACGCAAACTTTAACAATATTGAGAAGAAAATAAGAAGAAATAATCCAAGACAGCAACTACAAAACACATTCATCCAAAAAAACAAATAAATAAGGGTGTCTCTGAGTGAGTGAGAACTTACCGTATCCGAAAATAGAGCCCATGAAGGCGCCGGCAGCGGAATCGCCGGCGAATCTGAGGAGGCAAACTATGGGTGAACTGGCCGAATTGGAGGTGGTTAATGCGTCTGAAGTGAAGTTAGGGCTGGAATTGGGGTTAGAATTAGAACTGCTTTCGATTTCGGTATCGGAGTCGGAGTCCTGAGAATTTGCCGGCGACGCCATCTCTATCTATTCCAGCCCTAAGAACTTCGCTCAATCCGAACAAGCATCTTTTAGGTCCCTTTTTATATTCTTGCTTTGGAGAGATACCTGGGGGATATACAAGTGTAAACGACATCGTTTGATTGCACAAATACATCACGTGAGCTACTCATAACCGGGGATACTTCCCTCTCCGCCACGCTCTAATGTGTGAAGGGTTTACTTGCGGGTAAATTACATTTTACCCCTTTAAATTATTACTATTGTTTTATTTTCTACGTTCAACTATAAAATTTCTCATATTATACCATAAAATATCAATTTTATTTCATATCATTCTACTAGATAACGACTGTCAATTTTTTTACAATAACTGCACATATGAGTGGCCTACACACTGCCAATAAATTCTGACCATTAATGATATGATTAAAATTTTGAATTTCTCTTCATTTAATATGAGTTTGAGTATATCGTTGAAGAACGTTTTTTTGAATTTTTTATTCAAAATTAAATTTATGTTTAAAAAAGGGTAAGGATTAAAGATTCTAGCATCTCTAATAGAGACCTAAATTCTTACTCAAATTTGAGTAAAAAAAAGTATAAAAAACTTGATTTGATATAGACATTTTCAATAGACAAACCATTTTTCAAAAGAAGAGAAACTGAAAAAATAAGAAAATTAAATTTAAAAGAAGGTAAAATATAATCATTGAATTTTTAAAAGAGAGTGTAATCTTATCATTAAAGATTTCAGTTTAAAAATGAGTCACCATTGATTTGAGTTTAAAAAAAGATTTTTTTTTTATTTGTTATAGATAAGAGTTTAAGATTTTTAAAAGTTTTTTATTTTTTTAAAAATAAAATAAAAAAGAATAAAGATTGGAGATGATCTTACGATGCATTGTGAGTCGTCGGACCATTGCAGATGAAAAGCGGGCCTCGTTAAAGCCCCTATCGTGGTCTCTAGAAATGGCCTGAGCCACAAGGTCGTCAACAAGAAGAGCCTATACTTTAGCCTGCTGGGCTTTCCCCTTGTAATGGGCTTTAGCCCATATACCCAGTGGTCCCATTCCAACTTTTTTTCTTCTTTCAAACACACGTCTGTCCCATTCCAACTGAATGAAAAGTCTTTGTCCTTCTCGTTTATTCTCAAGAAGGTCGAATGTAAAGACTCTTCGCTACTCCTATCTTTATTGTGGAAGTCATTATAGAGCATCTCATTTATCATCTCTCTCATTCTAGATTTTCAATACAATTGTGATATCACGTCGTCAACGATACATAAAATCTTCGTTTACTTTAATAATTTAAAAGTCAAGATGGCTCGATTTTGCCGATAGGTTAATGAAAAAGTAATACATGCACCCGCTTGGAGCAAAATTAAAAGGAAGGAAAAATAAAAGAAATTTGACAAACCCATAGTTAGATGTGCTTCGAGAAGATTGTATTTGAAGTTAGGGGTGAACCCAATTGGTAACATGTCATTCTTATGAAGTCATTAACACGGATTCAAAACTTAATTTAATTCCTCTTCCTCAACTCTACGGATGTACAAATATTCATACAAAATCTCCAAACACAGGAAAAAAAATAATATTATACATGATAATGCACAAAATATGTGTTATGCACTACCTGATAAGTATTTAATGTAGTAATTAAGAAGGAGACTTCACACAAGTAAACACAAATTAAGTAGTTCGGTTAGAATGACCTATTTTACCATGATGGGTTACGACAACCTAAGTGTTTTATTATTCAAGGAGTGTAGAATATTTAGATGTAAATGATGCCTCCCTTGTGTAAATGGAGTTTATAATTTATAGGTGCCTCATAATATATTGAAATGTTATTCTCGTAACAAGTGAGCTAGTTCGGTGGAGATGACGTCTTTTTTGTAACAGGCGAGACAGTTGCGTGGAGATAGCGAAGTGCACTCGATGATTAGGTCCTACGGAGACTTCTTCGTGTGTCAATTGTGACTAAATCTCTCAAGGTAATATGTATATTTGAAATAAACCTGGTCTACAATTTTAAATTGAATTGAGCTTGATTTGTAATTCTCGGTGTAGGGGGGGCCGGACCCTTCAATATCAATACTACTTTTAAGTATAGACAATGATCTCACTGCTTAGGCACTTGTACAATGACATCTACATATAATAAGTTGAAATTCTAGAAGCCAATCAGTTTGATTTTGGCAAACTGGTTTCACACAGAATGACAAAGTTCAAACAATGGGAAATCAAAGAAAAATGGGTCTAAACAAGTCCATTAATCATAACTGCTTTCACACACAAAGCGAAATGAGAAAATAAATAAATAATGTTTTCTGAATTTTTTATATGTACGTGAATATATTTATGCTTAATATTTTATTTTAGATATTATATTTTAGGGGAATGTGGGTTGGGGTAAGTAGCTGATATGACATCAGACTCCAAATGTCAAATGCATCAATTAAACAATAACCAATGGAGGAAGTTGTCTATGATATCCAAAAAAATAATAAAAAATAATAATTATTATAATAGTGATAAATTTTTGATATAAAAGAAAAGTTGTTAAAATAGTTACCACAACAGTGATAAAAATATTTATAAAAATAATAAAAATAATTACTATAATAGTGATAAAACTATCCACAAAAATAATAAATATTTTAGTTGTGAAAATACCCACAAAAAATAATAAATTACCTATAAAAATAGTAAATATTAGAGGTATGATACTGAATTTTTTTAAATTCTACATTGCAGTCAAATTCCTGGATGGAGATATTAAAACCCAGGGATGCTTAATATATGATGTAAAAAATATACTTTGTGTTTTATAATGTTATACAAGAATTGATTTGCAAGAGAGTCAAGATTTGCTGACTGCTGAAAGAGCAGAAGATACCCATTAAATTTTTCTCTGTTTATATTTTAATTAAAACGACAAAAATCCCATCAACATAATTTTAAAATTTTAATTAGATTTGATGATCTATTTCAAGATTGCTAGGCCCATATATAATGTGGTGTAAATTGTTGTGTTTGTTACAATCCATTGCACGTAGTTGAAATATTGTGTGACGACTTCTTACAATAACCCGTTTTGGCAAATGATATCATGAATTACGTCTCATATTACTTTTTCAATAGTAAACTACCTAACATATAAGCAAGTCTAGTTTGAAATCATACCCGGTGATTTGTCATATAGGGTGGGTGTATTCGAGGAAATTCAAATTGCGAAAGAGTTGATATTTAAGTAAAAGTTTCCACATTTCTCATGCAATAGGATAAGTTTCACACCTTTATTTTTGCATAGAGAACAGGCTCTACCTGAGTGTAGAGAATTAGTTAGAGAATTTCAGTAAATGACAGTATTTATAAATTGCTTCAATATCCAGAACCATCCTCAAAGTTGGATTCACCCTCATGACTTTAATTTCAACAGACCACTTTATGACTTTGTAGACTAAAGGGACACTAGAGTTTCAATCTAATACACAGGATTCCTTTTTATAACGAGATTTTAGAAAAGATAAGCGTAAGACAACTTTATCCTTTTTCAGAGAGAGTGATTTATGGATTGGAAGTTGAAACTAATTACTCGAATGAATAAACACGCATTACCGCTCCGGTTGTAACCTTTGTCCAACAACACCATACTCATATATCTTGATTAGGGTTTTGGTTAAGAGTGTTTTCTTTGTAAGGGTGATATCAAAACATAATCGTGGATAAAACTGTAAATAAACAAACATTTGTCTGTTTTTATTACGTTAGATGGAACAAGTAACAAAATGAAGTTGAAGTAAGAAAAAAAAATGAGAGTTCATTAAAATTTAATCCGTGACAATTCTTAAGAGTGGTTCAGTGGTTGAGTCTAGTCTTTAAAAATTCAGAGGTTTCAAGTTCAATACTTCTCATACTCTTTAAGATTCAACCATCTTTATTTTTAAGGGAACATATTCTAAACTCGTTCTGACTATAATGATCAATATCAGAAGTTGAGTGAATAATTGACGCAAATCTGAATACTCTATAGTGCAAAAAAAAAAAAAAAGTGGCTACATTATGAGTCCTCTTTACCCAGGTGTGTCACCTTCATAAAAAGAGAAAAAAAAAATGGTGTACTTGGCTATTTCTCAAAAGTCTAGTTTGGGGGGATCGTAATTCAAGAAGATATATTTAAGATTGGGGACCCTTCATATATAAAAGATCATAAAGTGGCCCCACCATTATTAGGCCTTTAAGTATTTTGGCTTTAGAATATTGTTTTAATTTGAATAATAGAGTAAGGAAGCATGTTCTAGGGACCAAAATGAAAAAGTAATGCTCTTCTTTCCTTGGTGGGGGAATTTGCTACTAAAGTAGGTATACTTCTACATTCTGTTACCTTTTACTTTTTGGTAGTGTTGATTAATACTCAATTTGCAATTGTGCATGAACTTTTTAGTTTTCGGTTTTTTTTTTTATTACTGGATGTTCAGACTTTAGTCGATTAATTCTTCGAGTTTGGATACTAATCACTGTAATCTGAGCGAGTTTAAAATATGTTTCCTGAAGAATAAGAGTAACAGACCTTTATGCGTTATGAGAAATGTTGAATTTGAGATTTTTGAGTTATCAGAGGTCAGACTCAACTACTGGATTACTCTTAAGAATTAATTTTTTTTAATTTTAATTATCAAGAAAAATAGAAAATCACTCGAAAAAATACGATTTGAGCATAAATGGGGTATTTTAAGTTCTACAATGGACTAAATATATTGGTATCCTTGAATTGATTGTAACCACATTTCATATTAGGGCCGTTCAACTTCGACAATTGCAATGACTTAAATCTATAAGTGATATTAAATTGTTAGATTCAAAAATAATAATGGTTTGAGATATAAGGGTACAACCAATCCCAGCCCCTCTAAAATTTAGGATTGTCAATAAGTCATATCGTATCAAGTTATTATCCAGTCGATTTTATTTTATTTTTTGTTATAAGATGTTTAGATTTATACCGATTACTCTCTCGAGTTCTGAATCGATCATCTTAATTCGAAATAGTTTAAAGATATGTCCAATAAAGAACAAGGTTAGACGACTCGTAGAAGATATGAAAAATATCGAATTTGAGACTTCTTATTTGTAAGAGGACAAACTTGACCACGTCCAAGCATATCTATATTTTGTATAAGTTGTATCTAAGTTGCGTTTGGTAGCTTTATGTCATGTTTAGACGAGTTTGTTAAGCAGGCCTATTTATTTATTTTTGAAACTTGACAAAACTATATTTAAATTTATTAATCTTATATTTATTTCATGTTATTTGGCCACCCCAAACTCCCAGCAACCTTAATAATTGAATACCCAATACAAACAACATATATCAGTTGAAACACCAGAGCAGAGATGAAAAGAGGGGTGACAAATACACCCGTAAATCTAGGAATAATTTCTCAATACAGACAATACCACATTAAACCACTCTGTTTCAAATATAAATCCGTGGGTCCCAACTGTAACCGCACCCAAAACCCGTCTGATTGGACTGGTTTTAGTCATCGCGTGGGTCGGTGTCGGTATCAACAATTCCCCCCTCAAGACGCCCATCATTAATCCCCAACAAGACTCGTACTTTGGATTAAGTTAAAAAATTCCCACAGTATTGCTTATGAAACGGTATATATTGAACATATGTAACTAATAATTACACACAAGTATCAAGGACCGAGGTTCCGACAAGCATCAAACCCCACTGTAGTTTTCAGTACATTTTATTCTCCGCTCTACACTCTCTTCTTCAGTATAGTTGCATAGTTGCATTTCACAATTCTAGTTCTTCGAAAATCGCCTCGATTCACGAACTGGGTCATCGACAGATATTGAATTAGAGCCACAGATTCTGCAGAAATCGGTTGACTTTAGAGCTAAAAGGCAAGTAAAGGACACACCCATCTCAGTATTATAATAACTTGTTTCTTTATCTTTTAGTGCTTTAAATTCCCTGCTCATTTCATCTGCTTTTTGATTGCTGGATTCATGCTAATTTTGCTTTGTTTTAGAGTTCTGTGATATTGATTTGCTTTCTCTCTCTCTCTTTCCCTGTTTTACTCCATTGGATTCCGGTGGTGGCACCGTTTCTCTTGAGGAAAAAGTTGGTAGCTTTATTGGTATCTGGTCATATTCTTGATGTAACTATTCCTGGTGGGTGCCTATTTCTAGGTTTGGAGCCTGGGTTTGAAGTAATCTACTTTAAAGGCCCATTATTGGGTAATTTGCCTTCGGGGTTGCGGAGTTCGTCTATATTTTAGCTCAGGTTAGGTTTATTTATGATGGGTATTGTCTGTTTTTATATCTGGATTCTGGGTTTTATTGGGTGGATCTAATTTGGTGAGTTTTTGACTTTTCTGTTTTGCGAATTGTACATGTACTTGTGTTTCAGCTCAGATTAGGTTTTGTATTTGTGCTTGTGGTTTTTACTGCTTTAATTCTAAGATCATAGTTCGAATGAATTTTGCTTGTTGAAGTGAACGGTCTTATGTTCCTTTTTTTTTGTCGGAACTTAAAAGTTTTTTTTTTCCTTAACATTGGGGTAGTTCATCAAAAAGGTCTCATGATTTGTGGGTTTTGGTGTCTGGTTTTGTGAATTTCGGGTTTATTCAAGCTAAGTACCAGGTTTGGATATATGTTTTGTTTATGTTTATTGATGTTGAGTTATGAGTTATGAGAGTTATAGTATTCTGAATTATGGTATGAATTTTGTGTATTTTGGTTTTGGGGTTTAATTGGAGTGGAAAGGTTTTAAGTTCTTCTCTAAAGCTTTGATTTTGGGATTGGCTTTGAGTGTTTGCTTCTGTGTTCTGGCAGTTATTAGAAGTTACAACTTGGTTTTGATCTTTTATGTTGAGTCAGAGTGTTCTTCTTGATATTTGAGAGTTGTATGTTGATAATTTGTTCTTCGATTTGAATTAGAAGGGCCGTCCAGATTTTGCTTGAATTTGAGGACTTGTGTCTTGGTGGTTTGATAGAATACAAGAAGTTTCTAAGTTCTAATTATATGTTCAATTTTGGGTAACTCGATTTTCAATCAGCTCTTTCTTTGCTTTATCCAGGATTAATTTCTGATCGTTGTCATGGAATCTCCTCAATCTGTCGTGTCACCATTCAAGGGCTCCTCTGTTGTTTTTGCTGAGCCCGAGAACCAGAAGACTAATCTTTTTGTGAAGAACCCTGGCTGCTTATCCGAGAAAATTGAGGGTCAAAGGAAGGAAGCTGCGGTGTCTAATCTAGAAGGCCTCCTTGGTGTTCTTGAGGTCTATATACATCAGGCTAGGGACATCCATAACATCTGCATATACCAAAAGCAAGATGTTTATGCTAAGCTTTGCCTTACTAGTGACCCGGAAGATTCCGTCTCCACCCAAATCATCAACGGTGGTGGGAAGAATCCGGTGTTCAATCAGAATCTCCGACTCAATGTTCGGACAATTGATTCCTCCATCAAATGTGAGATATGGATGCTGAGCAGGGTGAGGAATTATCTTGAAGACCAATTGTTGGGCTTTGCTTTGGTGCCTCTGTCTGATGTTCTCATCAAGAATGGGATGTTAGAAAAGGAGTTCTCTCTCTCCTCAACTGATCTCTTCCATTCCCCAGCTGGGTTTGTCCAGTTGTCTCTCTCTTACAATGGAGCTTCACCGGACCTGATATCAGTTCCTGTAATGCGCACATCTGAGGCTAAAGATGTGCCTGTGCAGGATACAGATGTATCCGAGTCGCTCTCTAATGACTTTGACAAGATTGAGTTTCCTGATCCAAAGATAGTGAATGAGAACCATATGATGGTTTCGGAGTACTATGGCATCTCAGAGAGCTTGGTCTCTTCTGATGCTGAAAATCATCTCAGTTCAGAAGTTGGTGTTCATGTCGCGGAAAGCTTCTTAACAGACGCCATTAATTCTAGCGAACCACGGAAGCGTGATTCTCCCCCAAGTAGTCTGTCGACTAATGGTTCTCCATCTGCTTCACTTCCTGCAAGTTCTGAATCCTCTGAAACCCAGGTAGCTTCAAAATCTCCACATGAGGAACATGTTTCGCCTCCAAAAGAAAATCTGAAAGAAACGAGTGCAGATGTTGGGGATGCTGAGAGTAATGTATCAGGTGGAATGGCTGGTAATGCATTTGCAAAGCCTGTTGTCAATGTGAAGATTGAGCCAGAGCAAAAGGTGGTGCAACAGGATATCGTGGATATGTACATGAAAAGCATGCAGCAATTCACCGAGTCATTGGCAAAGATGAAACTTCCAATGGACATTGAAAGTGGACCAACTAGTTCTGGGAATTCGACTTCGGATCAGAAATTACAGGCATCAAAGAACAATGGTTCCCGAGTGTTTTATGGGAGTAGAGCTTTCTTCTGAGCTTTTGTTTCACTGGTTCAGAAGGGGTATGATACACAGGTGACTTTTAGAGATTAGAATCAAGACTGATGGTAGTAGTAATATTAGTGTCACAATGTACGATGTCGTGGTGTTTTAATCTGTATGTTGGGATGTTTTGGACGATGGAGCTGCGTGTGTTCCTAGCATTGTTATGCCTCTTATGCTCTCAGTGTTTATTTGAACTTGTTCTTTTTTTGCTCTTTTATCTCAGCTACTAGCCTGTAATGATGTGATAATCCTCAATGTATGTTACTCACTCTTTGTTCAGTTCTTGATGATTGTGTAATCAAGACCCATTTAACAGTATGTGATAATCATAAGGGTGTTGTATATATCCAATGTACGCTAATAATTCAAGGCAAAATATGGGGCTATCCTTAATTATCAGTTATTCAATCCTTCTAACTTTCCTAATAGCTATGCCTTCGCATATGAGAATTTTTAGACCCCTTCTGCTGTTACCTGATGCAATGGAATGATGATTGAAAAGAAAAAAGGATGGTGCTTTTTTGTTCTTGGGGATTTGTTGATATAAGGGTAATGATACTTGAAACCCGTATCATGTGGATGTATGCCTTTCTTTTCACCCGACCACAGTACAATAGAAATACTTCCTACCCCTGCCCTAAATTGGTACTTCTGCTATCTCATTTGCTCTGCTGTACATGTGCCTTCTACAAATCCATGCAATGCGACCGTCATCTCTGTATCTCACTCTCCATAATCCAAACTTCTCTGCAATTTCTTTTCCCGTTGAGCATCTCCGGTCCCTCAAAAAATCGACTACCCATTGCTGTGCTGCTCTTAGATCTTGCTGAATGTCCCGTGAGCCCCTGCTTGTATTCCTCCTTCCATCGATCCGTCCCACTGAAGCAACACCCACAGCCCCAGCAGCTGCTGCACCTGCTGCCCCATATAGTAAGGGAGACTCAACCAGATGGGCAACTTCCCTGCTCAAATCTGGTATCATTTCTCCCATCCCAGTTGCTAAATGAGCTCCTATTTTGAGAGCAAATGTTAGCAATTTCATGAACTTCGTCATATATGGAGCCAAACACTTCACTGCAGTGTTATCAACCTGCATGAGTTCGCAGCCAACTTGATCTTCAACGACATGCATTTCTCGCCGATATTCGCATAACATGTGCAGCCGGAGTGCATTCATGCCGGAAATCATGCTGGTGACCAATCTCCTCGAGTAATTCTCAGTTCTGACAAAATAGAACATGTTGGGTACTTTTCTTTCTTCGAGCTCAACATTGTAGTTCACCAGGTAGTTTACTTTGTGATGCAGCTCCATTAGAAGTCTATGTTCATAATATCTCAGCCCTTGAATTTCCTGTTTTAAATCTCGGATTTCTTGTTCAATGATCTTAAGTCTCTGCAAAACTGCTTCAACACCCTTGGCAATTCCACCAAGTGATGGTTCAACTTTGCTGTCAGTTTCGTCACTGGTAGATGGAGGATGATCCTGTCCATCTGGGTTGTTTTCCAGTGGAACCTGTAGTTCGACAGCAAGGTTGTATAGGTCATGATACCTTCGATGAAGTACTTCTCGGAAGTCATCATCTGATAGGAGGTCTCGAGCAAAATCAAATCCAGCTCTTAAAATAGGTCTTCCAGAGTCTAATACTGGACCCCAAGTGTGCTGATATTCATACATGCTCTCTGCAGGAACTGAGAGTAGTGCCTGTTTCAATCGCTGCAGATGCACAGATTGTGTTCCTCTGTATCTGGGAGGTGTGAGATTTCTGACACATTCTGGCCGGAGAATGTTTTCAGTCAACGTGACACCATGACAAAGGCTTTGGATTGCCGGGATTATGAGCTGCTGGAAGAGCCTAAGGGTTTCTGTTAGGTTTTTTGTGGAGCAAGCAAGCACATCAATGTAGTAACCCAACTGTCCTCCAAGCTCTACTCTGACATGGATGCCATTGATATTTATTGAGATGAGGTATTTCTCAAGGCTGTATGTTCCTCCATGTTGCTTCTTTATCCCTATGAATTTGTTGTGGAGATGCACCTGGTTTTCAGAATATGAAATTCTGTTAGAACTTAATAATTGTGGGGGTTCCAAATTTTAGTTCTAACGGGCAAAGTTAATATAACTGTAGCACGTAGGTACTGGTAACTGTAGCAACAACCTCCCACTCAAGCAACAAGTGAGATTTATAATAAGCATAATCCATATTGGACTATTCACAAAGGACTGTTCATTTGCTAGTTACAAAGCACAGCTAGTGCCATCCAAATAGTCACTGAATAAGGTGTCAGCTATCAGGTAGACAAGCTAAGGATACTTGGTACTTGGTAGTCAAAAAAGAGCCAAGGATTTTAGGGTAAAGAAGAAAGGAAAGCGTTTATAAAGAACACACACATCAAACATCAACTTTGAAGATCGTAGAGGTCAGATGAGAAGTGTAAAATAAAGGTGATTCTGCAAACAAGAAGTCATTTTCTTATGTATCTGGATATTACATTCGTATGATTGATATTCTGGTTATGAAATTATTTTTCCCATCTTTTTGACTACACATTTTATGAATGAGATTCGTTGCAGAATCCCATTTGGCGATATTTAATCTATGATCCTATAGTTCCTCATGAGTGCAGCTCATTTCTTTATGGTTGTGTGCATGATCAATTCTAGGAAGGGATTTTTAACTTTGAGGAAGACATATTGAAAGCAAAGCTATAATTAGCAAAAGAAAACTGGAAGATGAAAAGCAGGAATTTAAAAGGGAATAAAAGTTCCTACCTGTAATCGGGGAAAAAATCCGGGTGTGAGGAACATGTGGCTTGAATCGTCACACTCCAAATGTCTCCCTGCATAAGTACAGTCAGGTGTGCTTAATTGCCATCTCTGTGGTTTTCCCCTGCCTTCTTCTAGAATGGAGGGGATCAGTAGCAGTGAATTTGGATCTGATGGATCTTGTTCATAACACAGTTCCATTTTTAGCATCATCTTCACAAGATCAATGGCCTCCAAGTTATCAAAAACCTTTGAGCCTCTCCCGGGTATCTGGCTATGTAAACTTCCTTTAAGAATTTTCTCCAACTCTTTAATGCTTATGAATCCATTATCTTCAGTTGAACTCTGCTTTCTAACATCTAATTTTACTAGTTGACTAAGCACTTCACTGCAAAACCATTCACAATCTAAGATCAAGAACCCCGGTTCGTCGAAATAAATTACCTCACCCATCTGATGAAGACATACAGCAATGGCCCGCCTCCGCATCTCTACCTTCTCCTTATTATCATGTCTTGATCGTATTCTTAAGGGTGGAACCTTAACTTGGCAGAGCTCACCAAACTCTTTCAACTTCATTGCTGGCTTGTTGCTGTTCTCAGATCTCCAGTCAGAGAGAACTTGTATCAGGTTATTGCAAAGCTCATAAACTCGAGGGACTCTTTGGAGAACTGTCTTGCTTGTCTTTCGAAGGTGATGGGTGAGTTTATTCACGGATGCAGACGATCTTGCATCGACTGTGAATACAGTTGGATAGAATTCAACAAACCCTTGGAACTTGTCTCTCAGTCTATGAATTGAATTTACAGTAGCCTGCAAGTTCTGTGATGGTTGATTGATTTTGTCATAGTGTGTGAGCACAACAGTTACATTAGGTAGCAGGCACTGTTGGGCAGCTCTTCTTGAGTTGGAAACTATGAACCTGAGCCAATACTGGAGATCTTCTTCTATCTCAGCGGAGGTTTTCAGTTCTCTGTTGCCGGGTTTCCTGAACAAACTTGATATAATAAGGAAGAACGATGCACTTCCATGACCTGGAAACATGAGATCATGAAGGGAGTAGAATTCTTGCTGACCAGCAAGGTTCCATATTGAAATTTTTGTGTCTTCATCTTTAAAAGGTTTTATCTTCATTCCTACTGTTCTGACAGCTTGCTCAACTGGGTTCACTAAAGTCCTTACTTGATCCATGTAAGGTAGCGTTGAAGAAGAAAAGTTCTGGGCTATGGAATTGCATAGCGTGGTTTTACCTGCACAAAAAATCAAAGAGCACTGATAAGTTTCAGGATTGACTAGCAGGTGCTGAAAGATGATAGATTAATTTCATTTTCATAAACAAATTCAGATTCATCAACTCAATTATTGACATATTAGGTTAATTACCAGCATATTCTTGTCCACACAGGAAGACTCTACAGCTCTTGGGCACTGTCATTGCCATGTCCTTGAGCAAATCGGTTTCTGGTTCTGGTTCGGTCCTCCCATTTTGACCCAATTTCTGATATACTCCTTCCGTCTTCCCAGAATTTTGCAGTGGTGTTCTTATCAGATCAATGTCCTCAATCCAAGGATTTACCTGTAATGTCTCCATTATTGTTTGCAGAACCAACTCACCATCAACTCCTTTGCAACCCTGCAAAGACAATGATTTCAAAGTGGCATTCCTCTCCAAGCTCCTGAAGATTTTGATGACATCTTCTGGCCTTAAACTGTCATCATCATATATCCCGAGGCGGGTTACACTTTGATTGCTTGTCAGCATCTGTAGAATAGCTGCCAGCCCATCTCTTCCAATCTTAGTTCTTCCCCCTCCAAAGGATACGGACTTCAGAGTTATGTTTGCTTGACTTTGTAGAGCAGAGAACCTGCTCAAAGGGCAGAGTAAATGTTCTGTTCCTATGCCTCCAAACCAGTTTCCATGAAGATACAAGCTTTCCAAACTCTGGTTCTTGAAGAGACCAGCCGCAACATACACTACTCCCTTGTCTTTTAGGCATGTCTTTGACAAATTAACCTCTTTGAGGGTGTGGTTCTGTTCCAAAACCCATCGAAACTCCTTAGCCCACCGAGATTTCAGTCGGACTCCTGTCATATCAAGCGTCCTTACAGTGGAATTCCATCCCAAAGCACAAGCAACCCTGCAAGTGCCTGAAACATCAAGGTGATAAATTCGGAGAGTGCTGTTCTCAGGTACAAATTCAACCACCTTCCAACTTTTCTCGCCATG